AGGCAGGAGGATCCTTGAGCCCAGGAGTTTGAGGTTGCTGTGAGCTAGGCTGACACCACGGCACTCACTCTAGCCCGGGCAATAGAGACCCTGTCTCAAAAAAAAAAAAAGAGAGAAAAAACAGTGCAGACCAAGGTGATAGCCTCCCCTCTTTCACAAGAGAGTCCTGAGCAGCGTTAGCTCAACAGAACCTGGGGAAACAGATGTCAGGACCCAAAGGGACCTTCAGTCACCATGAGAAATGAACGGGACCTCAGGCTACCTGAATGCAGTATCCAGCACGGGGCAGGGGAGAGCCCACTCTTCTCTGAGCTGGTCCTCGCCAGGGGCCTCTGCTTCCACTGGAGTCCCCAATTCCCTGGCCCCGGACAGCCCTTGTGCTCTGACTGCCCAGTGTCCACCCCCACGGCTGAGTGTTCAGCAGCCTTCCTGGTGCATGACACGCCCACCCAGCCTCCCGCCCTGGCCTGGGGACTCCTCAAAGCTAGATCCCAGGCAGTTAGGAAGAGAGGCTGCCCTTGGATGGGGAACACCTCTAGAAGGATGACCAGGCTGGATTTTGAACTTTGAGCCACAAGGTTAAGGACAGAACTTCAAGGTTACTCAGGCCACATAAGAAATCTGATGGCAGGTCAGGGATGTGCTCTCTAGAAGAGGAATTAAAGTGGGTATGATCGGCCAGACAGCCAGCCAGACTTTGGGATGGAGATTACAGGGTTGTAAAGACAACAAGTAGAATGGAACAAGAGGGCACCTGCCCCTCATCCACGCCAGCCTCTGCCACTAAAGAGCCAAACAAGGACCTAAGCACACACTGGGCTGTATGATGTCTTTGAGGTTCACAGAAACTCTGTGGCAAAAATGGAGGAGGTGCCTTCTTAAATTGGCCCTTGAGGCCCCAAATAAGGAAGAGAGAGACCTAGGGCTGAGCTTGTCCCTGGGGTGTGCTCACCGTGCTGGGGCGCGAAGCATGTGGGGGCACGAGGCTGGGTCAAAGACGGCCTGCAGGGACTCGCAGTCCTGGAAGGACAGGTTGTGAGTCTTCCTCACCCCTGGATGGGCAGACAGGGTCTCAGTGGGCCTCAACGATCTCCCCCTGCTCAGGGACCCTCTAGCTGACAAGCTGCCCACTCACCATACTTGCAGTGCAGCTGGACCACCAGGCGGCTGCTCCTGCCATTCAAAGAAATGCAGCATTTTTCCACAGTCTTCTCCAGCATTGCCAGCGAGCGGAAGACGGACAGGAAGGACTGAGCGGGGGAAGACATATCAGCCCAGCACTGCGCCTCCACCAGCCAGCTCTCACATTCAGTGTAGGCCCCAGCCCATCATGTAACACTAAGAAGGGGGCTTCCGTGACATATGGGACATTTGCATACTTCCCGGCCTTGTTCATGCTGTTCCCTCTGCCTGAAATGCCTTAAAAGACTGCTTACCTTTTTTGACAACCTGAATGTCCCCACCCTCTCAGGTCCCCTCTTTGGATGTCTTTACTATGCCCCACAGTGCATTTTATTTTATTTTTTCTGAGACAAGGTCTCACTCTGTTGCCCGAGCTAGAGTAAAGTGGTGTCATCATAGTTCACTGCAACCTCAAACTCCTGGGCTCAAGCGATCCTCCTCCCTCAGCCTCCCAAGGTGCTAGAACTACAGATGCATGCACCATGCCTGGCTAATTTTTTACTTTTTGTAGAGACAGGGTCTTGCTATGTTCCTCAGGCTGGTCTCAAACTCCTGGCCTCAATGAATCCTTCTCCCTCCCAAAGTGCTGGGATTATAGGCGTGAGCCACTGTGCCCAGACCCTCACTGCATTTTGCATGGGATTGCTCCTGCACATGTCTCTCTCCCCCATTAGCATCTGCTGCATGCCCCAGAGCCGAGGCACAGCTGGTGGAGGTTCCTGTGTTGGGCCAGTGCCACTGCTGAGGGAAGGGTCTCACCTTCATCAAGATCTTACAGCGCAGCGGGTCCTGACCGGAGGTGGTGGTAGCCTGGTACTGCTGGAAGAAGAGCGGGGCAAAGACGAAGCAGGCATAGGCAGAGCGGGAGGAGTTCACAGTCCGGAGGGAGAGCTGGGCCACGAAAAGCACAAAAGCAGGGAGAAGTATGTGGTCTGGGGGCAGCGACAGGCCCAGCCCTGCAGCCTGTATTTTGCTCGCACACTTGCCCTAACGTCCTCCCCCTCCACCAACACCTGTTGAAACCCTCCCTCGTAGGAGTCTGCTACTATCTCCTCATGAATTCTGCAGAGTCAGCCTCAGCACTGCTCCCACGGTCGAGGGGCCGCACCCCCTGCCCTTGCCCCTAGTTATCTCTAAGTCCACGCCACCCCTGCTGCCTTCAATTCACACACCGGCCTGGGAAGATCACAGGGCCCAAGCCGATGCCCACAACTGGACAGGAAACTGCAAGTCGGCAGACAAACCTGCCCACAGTCACACTGCCTGCTGGAAGCGAGACTTGAGTCCAGGTTACCCGCTCCCGGTTGGCATCCCAGCCCTCATACCCCAGCCCCTCACCCCGTCTTCCAAGGGTTCCAGGTAGAGCTCGTCCCCGATACGGGACAGGGAGTGGACGGCCTTGCCGAGCACTGCGGGGAGAGCAGAAAAGGGGTCAGGCTGGCGCCTCGGGCCGGCTCACGTGTCCCCGCCGCCAGGCCGACCCAAACTCACCCTTCACGTTGCCGCCCATGACCAGGCACTTCATGCTGGCCCAGCTCCGAACCCGGGCCTAGCCAGTGACCGGGCTGAGGCAGGTGGCTGCCGGCGACAAGTAGCCCCACCGGGTCTCAGCGGTACCGGGACCCGGGTTCCCGTCGCGCGCACAGCCTCTGGCCGCCCCGCCCCCGCCTGTGTATTGGTCCACACACCGGCGCCTCCGTCACGTGAGAAAAACGCTCACAGGCCCCGCTGTCATGTGACGGAGTCCGTTTCCGGGGGTGGGCCCCTGTCACATGACTCGGCGCCCTTGCGGTCTGCTTCTGGCTCTCCAGGCCTGCCCTGACCCTTCCGCGCTCCCGGGGTGCCGGGCCGCTCGGCGGGGCGCACGGCGGGCTGCGCACCGGAACGCGAAGGGCAGAGAGGACGCCGCTCCAGGGCTCGAGGTGCCTGGTGCAGTGGACCGAGCCCTGGGCTCGGACTCGGAGATGTAGGGGCAGGCCCTCCTGGTCACTAACTTAGTGCACGTTTCCTGGACGTCTGTAGGGGAATACAGGGTTGAAGCAACACCGTCCGCACCCAGTCTGTGACGGGGACTCGGACACAAGCAGCAGTCACCAGCTGTAAAAAGAGGTCAAAGCAACTTGCGGCAGGAGCCAAGGGTGGAAGGTGGCTGTTCGTTCTGGCTCTGAGGGTCCTTTATTGGTTCTCTTCATTGATCCTTGAAGGAAGAACAAAAGATTCTTCGGGCAGAAAGGGGTAGAAGGCAGAAGGAAGAGCAAGAGTAAAGGCTCAGCGGTGCGTGGGCTCTGCGCCCCTGGGGAGTGGAGGGGGGCTGCCAGATGATGAGGGACACTGCTAGGAAGCGCTGGAAACGTTTTAGGAGGGTAGATCGTGGTTATGCGCATTTTTATAAGACCCCAGACTGTGTGAAAGACAGGGGTTCCGGAGCTGGATTTTCCCCTTGCCCTGGGCCTCAGTCCCGCGTGTGTAAAGTGGAAAGACTCCCTGATCCCTCGCTCCCAACAGTACCGAGGCTCTGTGGTTCTCTGAAGGGCCCTGGGCATCCGTCGTTCCTGGAGGGCTGGTCCGTGCGTCCCCCCCGCCCCCCCACCGTCCTCTCAGCAGAGCAGAGGACACATTTGTCCCGGAGCCCCTTGCCCTCCAGCCTCATTTTAAAAAAAGATTGATGCATCATAATTGTACATATTGATGGGGTACATGTGATAATTTTGATGCATGCATACACTTTCTTTTTCTTACTCCCCTCAGCTCCCTTCTGTCACCAGCCTTTGCCTCTTCCCTACACCTCTGGGGAGGTGGCTGTTCTTCCCTTTCCTCTTCAGGGGGATCAGCGTGAATGGGACCACCTCTGCCTAGGCAGTCAGCTCAGCAAACTGGGACTCATCCTCAACCCCAACCCTGATACAGTCCTTCAGCAGATCCTGACTGCTCTGCCTCCAAAAGAGAAGGCCACTTCACCCTCACCTCCCGCCTCCATGGCCACCATCTGGCTTGGGCCAAAATCCTCTCACCTGGATGACTGTAACAGCTCTCAGTGGTCTCCTGCCTCCACCCTGTCCCCTCCTGTCTACTCTCCAAACAGCAGCAAAATTACTAAAATGTCGATTGTGTCATGCCTCCCCCTTGTTTACATGCTCCAGTGGTTGCCATAAAATCCAAACTCTACCCTGAACCTGTAGGAGCCCGCTGCACCCATCTCCTCCCCTGATCACCTGTTGTACCTACCACTTCCTCTCCCATCTGGGCATCTTTGCACATGTTGTTCCCACCACTTGGCATGGTCTTCCCACTTCTCACATGGTGGCTCTTCTCTTCCTCGGGGCTCAGCTGCAGTTGCCCCTTCTCAGCTAGGCCCGGGTTAGCTGGCTGGGCCCTTGCCCTGTTTCAGCAGCAGCACTTACCACAACTCTGCATTACCTCATGCATGTGTTTGCTTGCCTTTGATCTCCCCCCAACCATGGAAATCAGCAAAGCCTTCGCAGCTTCTCCACCTCTGCCCCACACGCATTACCTGAGCAGTCCAGCTGGGACAGGAGACAGAAGCAAAGCTCCCTAGAAGGCAACGGAGGAGAAGGCTGCGAAGATTCACATGTTTCTGCCCCTGACTCCTATGGGGCTACAGGGTCCTATGGCCTTGAGGTCCTTTTTAGGCAGGGAGGAAGGGAGACGGAATCTCCTTGGGCCGCTTCGTGAGTCTTTCTTCAGTCACCCTCCTGTCCCCTTGCCAAAAGTCAGAAATCATCTGAACCTTCTGAAGGGCTTAGAAACCAGAAAATGGCCTAGAGCTAGGAGTCAGGAGACCTGGGTTTCATGTCTGGGACTCAACACCGACTTGCTGTGTGATGTTGTCCCAGTCCCGCCCTGGCTGGAGCTGTTTCTTCATCTGTGCGATGTGATGGAGGGGCGCACGGAGGGAGCACACTGAGGTCCCTTCCAACCATGACGTGCTGGGATCCTGAAGGGGCCCTGCAGCTTCCCTGTCCCCTTCATCTGCCTGCAGCTGGGGAGAGAAGCTATAATCAGTTGGCTGTCCTGCTTGCCCTCTCCCTGCCCCCTGGGCTGTGGGGCTGGAGGGAGCTTTCCAATCCGAGGCCAAGAAGCTTCCCCAGGCTTGCAGCTCGCACATCACTAGTGCACTTCTGGTCCAGAGGGGAATAAGGAGCTCGGAGCTGTCAGGAACCCTTTGTGTTGGGTGAGGGGTGGGTATAGGGACCCAAAGAGAATTTGGAGACCTGGGCATAGCTCGAGCCCTACTCATAAATGGCTTCAAGCAAGTCAAGGCTCCTCTCTGGGCCTGTTTCTTCCTCAATAAAATGAAGGCGTTGGGTGAGATGCTCTCAGGATTCTTTCAAACCCCGAATTTCTACCATACCCCGCAGTAGAGGTGGCCTTCCGTGAGGAGGTAGGCATGCAAGTATGTGTTAGTGTGCGTATGTGGGGAGTGTAGCAGATACGGAATGGAAGCAGGGAAATTCTGTTGGGAAATTTCTTCTCTTCAGCTACCACTTCTCACCCAGCTGGTTAGGTGGGAAGTGGCAGGAAGTCCAAAGCTTGAGACCTCGGTGCTCAGTGATTCATTCATTCAACATATTTTGGGTGCACTTTTCCACAGGACAAAAATCCCTGCTCTCGTGGGGCTTCCGCCCTGGTGTAGAGAGACAAAGAACAAAATAAACAAGTCAGTCACATCGTATGCTAGCGGGTGGTGACTGTTGCAGAGAAGAAGAAAGCCCTGGTGGGGGGCTATCAGGAGGGGGGTGTCAGGAGAGAAGAGCTTCAGTGCTAAATAGCCTGGCCAGGTTGGCTTCACTGGGAAGTGGCTATTTGAGCAAAGACCTGAAGGAGGTGAGGGAGTGAGCCCTGCGGATATCTGGGGACAAGCACTCCAAGCAGAGGGAGTGGGCAATGCCAAAGCTCTGAGCAGAAATTTGGGCCAAGTCAAGGTTCCTGAGCCGGGGAGCGCTACAATCTAGTGGGGGAAAACTGACATCAATCAAAGAATCACCAAAGTAAATGTGAAATTACACCTTTGAAAAGGGACAGGAATGATGGTGACATGGGCTATGAGAGCATGTCACTGGGCACATCTGGTCCTGGGTATCAGGGAGGGCTTCCTGGAAGAAGGAACAGTCTGAGGGAGGTGAGGCATGGGGAACCAGTTGACCAAAAAAGCACATTCACTGAGAAGTCACTGGTGAGGATGATTTGCCAGGCACTGCTCTCTCCTGCCACAGGATGTCCCCTGCAGCCCTCCTTATAGACACAAGAGCAAAGGCAGGATGACTCATAGTTGGCGTTTTGCCAGATTGGGGTAACCAATAGGCAGAAGGGCAGAAGAGTTTAGGGCTTGGGAGTTCACTCTGGTCTGTGTGGGTCTAGTCTGTGCACAGGCAGAAAGTGGCACTGTGTGGTCGCTCTGGGCTAACCAAGCGGGCACGGCAGCTCTGAGTTGCTGCGGCGCTAAGCTGGTTGGTGGAGCGCCACTTGGCCTGCTTGTGATGGGTTTGTGGCATGCCAGGTGTCGCCAGCCCCCTTCCAAGCTCTGCCCATGCCTTTCTCATTCGCTGGCATTTCTCCCAGCAGTCAGGACAATGTTTGGCACATAGTAGTGGTTCAATAAGTCTGTGTTGAATGACTGAAGAGTAGAGGATTCAGAGAGGTCACAAGACTTGAATCCAGGATCGTCTGTTGAGCTTGAGAATGTGGTTCTAGGTGCCAGACTGCCTACAGCTGAATCCTGGTTCTATCACTTAACAAGTCATGTGAAAATGGACAAGTTGCTTATGTTCTCCAAGCCTCAGTTCCCTAATCTGTAAACTGGGGGTAACAACAGTCTCTACCTCAAAGGGCTGTTGTGGGGATCGATTTAGTTAATGTTTATGAAGCTCTTAGAATCTGCTGTTAGCGTTGCTATTCTTACGATTGCTGTGTTCTGCCACCTCCCTCTCTGGTGTGTATCCTCACAGTATCATAGGGTCAGAACTGGGCACAAGTCACCGCCCTAGAGCAAGCCAGGGCGAATCCACACCAGGAACCCAGGAGGCAAGTCTCCTCAAAGAAGTATCACAGAGAATAGGTCTGGAGTCCAGACACTAAGAAATTTTCTGAGGCCTCTTGGGTAGGGGCGGAAGAGTCAAACCAGGGGGAAGAGGCTCAGGAGGAAGGCTGCTGCTGCTTCCAGCTGTGCCACGTGCTGGCCCCACGACTCTGGGCCCTCAGTGTCCTCCGCCTCCCAAGAAGAATGTGGGTCCTTGCAAGCTGCTGGGCGCCAGCGTGCAATAGTGGACGTGCCCACCCTGCCAGGCGCTGTGCGCAAACCAGGGGTCAGGGTTTCTACGTCTGTAGGGCTGGAGGTGGAAGGGAGATGGGATGGAAATTTTTAAACCCACAGTGGGGATGGGAAGGGGGAAGCTCAGGCTTGTTCACCAAAACCTGGCATTCTGGAGTTACAGGGCCCCCTTGGAGCGCAAGTGAGGTAAGTTTAGGACAAATCAAAGGCAGTGTGCTTCACCCAGCAGGGGAGGATGCCGATGGAACTCATTACCCCAAGATGTGGTCTTGGCTGGAAATATAAATAGCTTCACAAAAGGTTTAGATAAATCCACAGATGACAGCCCCATTCATGGGT